AGAGGCCAATACCGTCAAATTGCAACCACGCTACCCCAAATTTGGCCTGGCAAGGTCAATTTCAGCGCTACTCCCCTCATCGGGGGAGGAGTACAGAAATCGATTTTAAGAGCCCTTTAAGTCGAAGTAAATGGCTTCATTGTGTGGACGGGTGCAGGGTTAAATCGATCTAATGCTGCTAATTCGACCTAAACTCATAGTGTAGGCCAGGGCTAAGATAAAATTCTATCATCTTGACTATTTAGATTGGCCAAGTCAATGAGTATTTTGTTGGAAGGTTTAGGTAAGGAGAGGAGGTTATTCATCAAAATACAAAGATTTCCTGTAGATAGCTTTCTTGTATATTCCAGTTATGTATGTAGCATTAAGCTGTCATGTTGTAATAGCAATAATTGAAATGACTAGTTTTACATCAAAACTGAACTTAACCACACACGCTTAAAGTAAGTGTCTGCCCTCTAAACTCTGTGCTAGGGATTGAAAATCACTGAAAAACATCTTCGGGAACCAGGACATTCTAGTTCAGTCCTGGACTATGGTGTCAAAAACGCAGTGCTTCGACTGGGAGACCGGAGGCCTGTTTACCATTCAGTGTCTGATGAACCACAAGGGCTAGAAGTAGATGGTTTATTTAACCACAAGAAATCTGGTTCTTAGCTTTCCAATGAAATGGTATGTGTTCTCCAATGTTCTAAGATGCCAACCTACAGAATAGGCTGCCCTGGATCTTTGCACAGAACACTCATTGACTTCAACAGGAAGCCTACTATAGCCAAAGTGTTGTTTATGCCCCTGGTTTTCTAACTCCAGGCCTCAGATCCAAATTTATACTATAGTTTGTCCCCCAATGCAGAGTGAGTCTGATATTCCTACTTTAGATTAACATCAAACCTAATCCCTATCCCCAAAATGAAGATGAAAAATGGTTGTGAAAGAAATTGCTTTCCAGCTTATGAAAGGGTATTCACAAACTATAGAACAAAAACATGTTAAAACTGTGCAAGTACTTAAAGCTGGCCTTTTTAGTAAAACAATCATAAAAACAGTGGGTTGTATTTGGCAAACTTACTGTCCTGACTTCAATTTAAGTCTCAAATCCTCCAAATCTGCAATAGATGGAATGTAAAAAATTAGCATTGAAGTATGAGTTCAACTTTTATGGTTTTAGTTCAGTGAAACTGAAAGAGGAGAGTGAAGACTTGTTGTGGAATATATCAACTTCACTTGCGGCTTGTCAGAATGTGACTTATGAACTGTGTGAGTTTTTTATTATATTTTTGTTTTTAACTCAGGGTGCCTTTCAGGTGTATATTTTAGAGGTGGGGAAAGGAGAGCTGGTTTTCAGTTCATAGACGCAACGATACTAGGTAGAAACTGTCTGCCTCTCTTTTTATGACATTCTGAATTTTAGATTGTAAAATAACATCATTTTCCATGTTTCATAACTGCTAATCTCTGTTGAAACAGCAGCTCTTCTTTCAGATTAGCAGCCGTGTTAGTGTGTATTCGCAAGAAGAAAAGGAGTACTTGTGGCACCTTAGAGACCAACAAATTTATTTGAGCATAAGATTCCGTGAGCTACAGCTCACTTCATCGGATGCATTCAGTGGAAAATACAGTGGGGAGATTTATGTACCTAGAGAACATGAAACAATGGGTGTTACCATACACACTGTAACCAGAGTCGTCACTTAAGGTGAGCTATTACCAGCATGAGAGCCGGGGGAGGAGGACCTTTTGTAGTAATAATCAAGGTGGGCCATTTCCAGCAGTTAAGAACGTCTGAGGAACAGTGGGGGGTGGGATAAACATGGGGAAATAGTTTTACTTTGTGTAATGACCCATCCACTCCCAGTCTCTATTCAAACCTAAGTTAATTGTATCCAGTTTGCAAATTAATTCCAATTCAGCAGTCTCTCCTTGGAGTCTGTTTTTGAAGTTTTGTTGTTGAAGTATTGCCACTTTTAGCAGTTCTTCTGTGGGTTTCAGTAACTTGAAAGAAAAGAGAGCTGTTCAGAGAGCTGAATGCTGTTCTTGTGTAAAGCTCTTGTTACATCACACTGGCTGCAGCCTACAGTAAGAGGATTAAAGCAACTATCAAGTTTACTGAAATTTTTGAAATAATTTTGTGCATAGGACAAAGTCTATAATTATTTAAAAAAAAAAAAACAACTTGAACTCTTGTGCTCTGTCTCTGTTTTACTCATTTCTCCCCCAGCTCCCTGGATGACTCTTAACTTGCTGATGGTGGCCAGTTTTCCGTGTTATACATATGTTCTCGTGGCATCCTTTCTACACTGTGAAATTAAGCCCTTGGTGGCAGTGGTTTTAGGAATAGGTTCCCCTAACCTGAAAATGGCTTCTGCTAGTATAGACTGAATGAAACCATTTTCAGCATAGTTAGCCTGTGTCTACAAAAGGAAGGTTTTGAGAAAAATGCTGCTATTGTACTACCCCCCAGTAGCAGTAGTACAATGGTGGGAATGGTAGAATAGACTGGCAGCTAGTTCTCTGCCTTCTGCATCGGCTGACCATGCTCAGTGTAGGTCTAGCTGACAATGGGCAAAGCATCAGTAGCTGTTGGTGGCCTGTCTTTGCTAGCTGTCTCACCACTGCTACCGTTCATGGTGGAGAAATTTTACAAAAATTCTAGTGTAGACCAGACCTTGCAGAAAGTATCTGAGACCATCAGAAGCCTCATTTCAAAGCCCCTTTGAAAGATCTATACAGGAAAAAAACATTATTAATATTCTTTTCCTTTCCCGTGCTGGGTGGGATGGCCATTGTGCCACCTGTGACCTCAGCCGTGAGGGATGGGGAGGATCATTATATGTTTATCTATCTATATAAATTACAAATGACTAACATACAGTGCCTGGTTCTGGTCCCATTGAAGTCAGTAGGAGTTTTGTCATTGACTTCAGCTGGAGCAGTAGTGGGCCTTTCCAGCCTGGGGATGTATTCTCTTTACTGTGGAGGCTGTTTGCTTTGGGATTCCCCCAAAGCATTCATGGGTGCAGGAATCCTTGGTAAAATGGCTCCAGTGGAGCCACGTTGAGTGGATGGTGTCAGTGAAGGCCAGCATCAGTCTGGAGGTACTGGGTCGCTAAGCAGATGACTAGATCCACCAAGTTTGTGGGTGGTCCCCACACCTTGTTTTGACAGAAAGAGGGAAGGAGAAAGGAACATGCTGTCCTCATCCCCTCGTACAGATCCTCATGGAAGACTGCCTCCCACAAAGCTGCTTCCTGAGAGTTTCCCCACAGGAGGTGATGATGTGGGCCCTGGCTTTCGTGTTCTGGCTACAGTGTAGGTAGTTGTAGCAGCATGATGCCTCTGACTCTTCCATCCTGGGCCCCTATTTTCAGGTGCCTATAACTTTCTGACTAAAATTTGACTTTGGCTGAAATGTCACCTGCTCATTCTCAGCCTAAAGGTGAACTCTTTTTGTAAGAAGTTGGCCAAATGGAATGTGGCCAGTTTGAGTTCTGCACACTGATGTGAGCAAGAGGCAACTATTAATTACACTATTTGGCTTGCAAATATTCAGTGTCTTAAAATACAGTCCTGCTATAAACTCCGTCCAAGCTTACTTGACAAGTATGAAGAAATATGGATTAGAAATAACCAAGTGATCACATGCTGTGCATGTACACTTGTGACTGTACCCCCTAAGTAACAAACAGCAAACTGAGGTGTACTTCTGCATAGATCTGAACTGCCACACTGTTAAAATAATTAACCCAGCTGGTCCATCCTAGGCCTGTCTGCTTTGGATTCTCCTAGTATCCTGACTGGCCATTCTCACCATTAGCTACTCCTACTATGTTAAACTGACTATGTGATACAGATTTCCCTTCCTCTCCTCTCCCCCCCCCCCCCACCCCGCCGCTTGTGTGGGTCTATGTGATGCATGTGACACATGCACTACACAATTACAGTAGAAATTACAAATTTTAGTCATGAATAAAACAGTTAAACCACATCCTGGTTGCAAGGGAAGTTTATTCTTTGCACAGATAAGTTCAACCCTCCAGACTGCATAATAATAAAAGGAAACAGCCTATTTGATGGGCAGTAAACTATGCTACAACAAGGACTGGGTGGGAATCCAAATCAGATTTACAGTTCCAGGTAGCAATGGATAAAATTTAATTGGAAAAATAAGTCTTGCAACTAGTTTGCTATCTAAACTGATTTCCAGATAATTGTCTTTTTTTTAATTTTCATTAACTGAGAAATATCCATTTTCCAGACTATTTTAAATAGTTTGAATATCTTGCTATAAAATAAATAAAAATATTGAAAGCAGCTCTTTTAGTGTAGTATTTTTATATACTAGTTGAAACATTAACATTGCTAAGACATGAGTGGTGGTACCTAAGGAAAAGGATCGGATAGCAAAGGAATGAAATTTATTGATTTTTTTTTTTAGCTTATTTGAATGAATTGGAAATGAGAGGTTTTGTCATATTGTTATAAGAGAGTGCAGAATGTTTTGCAAAATGTTTTCTATTTTTTATTATTTAAAATATTTTTAATTAACACTAATATAGTGCATATTCAAAGTACACAGTCCAATCACTTTTACAGAAACTGATTTTCACAAGGTATATTCTATTTGCTAGTCACGTTTTTAAAATATATCAACGACAGCTCTTAACAGTCCAGATAGTTATATCATACAGTGCAAACCTTTCGCTCTTGTAATATTAAGTGGTGGCTCTCTCTAAGTATAATTTGACAGTAAGTAAAGAGAGAGATTTTGTTGTTGTTTTTATTATTCTAGAGACACCGTACACCCTTGAAAGGATCCTGCCTGGCTTGCTTCCATTTTATGGAGTGGTGGACAATAGCGTACAATTCAACAAAATACAAAGAGCAGTGGAAAACTTTTTCAGATTCTACATATCTTGTGATGTTATGCTGTTCAACAGAAAAAAAATTATACCAGTCTGTCAACAACAAATGATAGTAACGTATGTTTTGTTTTGTTTCAGGAATGTTTACCCTTGCAGAAGTTGCATCACTTAATGACATTCAGCCAACTTATCGCATCCTGAAACCATGGTGGGATGTATTTATGGATTATCTTGCTGTTGTTATGCTAATGGTTGCCATCTTTGCTGGAACCATGCAGCTGACCAAAGATCAGGTGGTCTGCTTGCCAGTATTGCAGTCTGCTGTAAATTCAAAAGCACAACCCAGCATATCAGGGAATGCTGATGTTACACCAGGATTTGAAACAACCACTGATCAAGATAAAGGAATGGCAATGAGAACAGTTTCCTTTGAAAGTGCACCTACCATAACACCAGACATACCACTAAGCAGAACGACCTATTCTCAGTTGCAATCTACTGTATCAAATCAGGAGCCGAAGAATGAGAAACAGGATTCTTCAGGCCGAAAAACCAATTTGGATTATCAGCAATATATATTTATTAACCAGATGTGCTATCATTTGGCTCTTCCTTGGTATTCAAAGTATTTTCCCTATCTTGCTCTCATACATACTATTATTTTAATGGTCAGTAGCAATTTTTGGTTTAAATATCCCAAAACATGCTCAAAAATTGAACATTTTGTGTCTATATTAGGAAAGTGTTTTGAATCCCCTTGGACTACAAAAGCATTATCTGAAACAGCATGTGAGGACTCTGAGGAGAACAAACAGAGACTAACGGGTGCCCAATCCCTGCCAAAGCACGTTTCCACTAGCAGTGATGAAGGAAGTCCAAGTGCTAGTACGCCCATGATAACCAAGACTGGCTTCAAGTTTTCAGCTGAAAAGCCAGTTATTGAGGTTCCCAGCATGACTATTTTAGATAAAAAAGATGGAGAACAAGCCAAAGCCCTGTTTGAAAAAGTTCGAAAATTCCGGGCCCATGTGGAGGACAGTGACTTGATTTATAAACTCTATGTTGTCCAGACAGTCATCAAGACAGTCAAGTTCATATTTATTCTTTGCTACACAGCTAACTTTGTAAACGAGATTAGTTTTGAGCACAACTGCAAGCCAAAAGTGGAGCATTTGACTGGCTATAAGGAATTTGAGTGTACACACAATATGGCTTACATGTTGAAAAAGCTGCTTATCAGCTACATTTCTCTCATTTGTGTGTATGGTTTTGTCTGTCTGTACACACTCTTCTGGTTGTTTAGAATACCCTTAAAAGAATATTCCTTTGAGAAGGTCAGAGAAGAGAGCAGCTTCAGTGATATTCCTGATGTCAAAAACGATTTTGCATTTCTTTTGCACATGGTAGATCAGTATGACCAGTTGTACTCCAAGAGATTTGGTGTCTTCTTGTCAGAGGTAAGTGAAAACAAGCTGCGTGAAATTAGTTTAAACCACGAGTGGACATTTGAAAAACTTCGGCAGCATGTCTCCCGCAATGCACAGGATAAGCAAGAGCTGCATCTCTTCATGCTATCCGGGGTCCCTGATGCAGTGTTTGATCTGACAGACCTGGATGTGCTGAAACTTGAGCTGATTCCTGAAGCAAAAATCCCAGCTAAAATCTCCCAGATGACCAACCTTCAAGAGCTTCATCTCTGTCACTGCCCTGCAAAGGTTGAGCAGACTGCTTTCAGCTTCCTCCGTGACAACTTGAGATGCCTTCACGTGAAATTCACAGATGTTGCAGAAATTCCTGCTTGGGTGTATTTGCTCAAAAATCTCCGTGAGTTATACTTGATAGGCAACTTGAATTCTGAAAACAATAAGATGATAGGGCTTGAATCTCTCAGAGAGTTAAGACACCTTAAAATTCTCCATGTGAAGAGCAATTTGACCAAAGTCCCCACCAATATCACAGATGTGGCACCGCATCTAACAAAACTAGTAATTCACAATGATGGCACCAAACTTGTGGTACTGAATAGCCTTAAGAAAATGATGAATGTAGCTGAGTTAGAGCTACAGAACTGTGAACTGGAGAGAATTCCACATGCCATTTTCAGTCTGTCTAATTTACAGGATCTGGATTTAAAATCAAATAGCATACGCACAATTGAAGAAGTCATCAGCTTCCAGCACTTAAAAAGACTTACTTGCTTAAAGTTGTGGCACAATAAAATAGTCAACATTCCTTCCTCCATTACCCATGTAAAGAACTTGGAGTCACTTTATCTCTCCAATAACAAACTCGAATCCTTGCCAGTCGCAGTGTTCAGTTTACAGAAACTCAGATGCTTAGATGTAAGCTACAACTCAATTGCAGCAATTCCAATGGAAATTGGATTGCTTCAAAATCTGCAGCATTTGCATATCACAGGAAACAAAGTGGATATTTTGCCAAAACAGTTGTTTAAATGTGTGAAATTAAGGACTTTGAGTCTGGGGCAAAACTGTATTACTTCGATCCCAGATAAAATTGGTCAGCTTGTGCAGCTAACTCACCTGGAACTGAAGGGAAACTGCTTAGATCGGCTACCAGCTATGCTAGGACAATGTCGGCTTCTCAGGAAAAGCGGGCTTGTTGTGGAAGATCACCTCTTTGACACTTTGCCTTCAGAAGTTAAAGAAGTATTGAATCAAGACACAAGCATCACCTTTGCTAATGGAATTTAAAAACAGGTGTAATCCTCAAGCAACTGACTTCCAAGCAGCAAATGCTAATGTACAAGTTATTACAAGATCATGAATTTTAGAAATACTGGAATCTTTATAAGAAAGAACTATTAGCAGGATGATAGGTGATGTAACTGAGTGTTCAGTGTTTGTAGCATTTTAAATGATCATTTCCAATTTTTTTGAAAGAAAAAACCCTTAATCTCAATTCTTTTTCTTTTAAATTGTTTGTAACTTGGATGCTGCCGCTTTTGAATGTTTACAAATTGCTTGCCTGCTTAAAGTAAATGATGGATTAAATTGATGACCTTTTTCTTACTATATAAGTTATTCTTTAATGTCTGGACTTTATTTCCCCCTCCCCCCCCCCAATAATGCACAAAAGTAAGTGGTTTCTACTACAGTATTATCCTAAAAGCACTTGCAATGCACATTGGTGTGTAATGTAGTGTTAATTCTCATACATTTTTAAGGAAACTAATCTTTGTAGCTGCTGCCTCACTAACTGAGGACGTATGTCTGCATTTGATGTTGTGAACTGCTGCAAAACTTCCAATTGTTTTACAAAGGGGTATGTGATTTGCTTGTGGGACCAAAGCTCTCCACATCCCTCACCAACAAGGCCTGATTTTTTGGATGGGATTCCCATCATAATCCACCAGTACTAGAGCCCTCGTCCTTTGCACACAGTGCAATTTCTGCTAAGCAGTGAAGGCCTTTCCCCATTTCAGAACTGATTTGTGTTGCCCCACTGTGCTCCCAGATACTGCTAACTGGAGTGGTGATAGATGGTCAAATGTAGATCTCTACAACTAAACTGTTGGATTGGCCCTAGGACAGGTACTGAACTTCATCATTTTGAATTGTTTTGCAAGGTGATGGTGGAAGGTCTTTAGATAAAGATACAGTGGTTTTACTACTGCTGCTTTACTCCTCTGCAGAGCCTTCCATCCAGAAATCTCACCATGCTCTAGAAGTACTAATGAATGTTTTGTCTTACAACACCTGCGCAAAGGAGGTGGGAATCAGCCCTATTTCTCAATTGTGGAATGTGAGACACAAAGAGGCTATGACTTGCCCAGGTGCACACAGGAGGCCTGACAGTCTGTGCTTTTAACCGCAAGATAATCCTTCCTCCAAACAAATCCAATTTTGGGGTCATTTAAGCATTGAAAATGTTAGCCCAGGAATCTATAAACACTTGCCAGATGAGGCATGAAATAAATTGAGAAAAAGCAGCCAGCAGAGTGTATTGTTTTTCAATTGACTTAGTATTGCCTGAATCACTACAGAAGTAAATGCAGAAGTGTAAACTGTTAATCTGCAAAATCACCTGCTGCAAAGCTTGTCCACTTAAGTGCCATCTACATGGAAATAATTACTGTGCTGGGAGATCTGATTACAAGTTAGACTCCTGTAATGGCTAAAACAGTTCTCTACTGAAGAGCGGTTGGGTACTGAACTGTGCTACAGCCTTACTAAAATCCAAGGGCCTGATTCTCCTCATGCACCAGTGCTGCTGTGGTGGAACTCCACTGACTTCTGTAGAGCTACTCCCGATTCATGTCACTGTAAATAAGGGCATGTCTGCATTTGAAACTTGCTTCCGGTTTTGTGTATCTGTGTTAGGTGATCTGCAACAAGTGTTGCATGAGCGGTTCAGACGCATGACATTATTACCTCATGATTAAGGTAGGTTTTGCCTTATATCAGTTCTACCATAGAGCACAGCAATGTTTTGAAACAAGCATTCAGCATTCTGGTCAGGCATCCCATGGTGCATTGCTCTGCTTCTGTGCTCAGTGCTTTCTGGGAGTGTTTGCATTATGGGACTGTGACATTTTGAGGATCGCTCAGGCCAGTAAGGTGCTCTGTCAGTGCCCATCTTGGAACTTCGGGTGCCATAATGCTGTGCTGCTATGGCTCAGAACCCTGGCACCAGTAGCCCACCCCCAAGCATAAAGGTCTCAACCTGGCCTGTACCAGCCTCGTTGTCACTTGCAGGCTGGTGTCACCTGATGGCCCTTGTCACCTGATGGCCCTTCCAAACCTAAGAGTTCCCAAATCCGTCCACCCTGAGTTCTTGTCTACCAGACACTCAGACTTCCCCCTCTGGTTCATCATTCCAAAGGTATGAAACCTGACCCCCAACACCAGCTTATTTGGGCACACACACTCCACACAGTTTGTACACCAGAGACTGCCTTGGGGTAAAAATAAAGAAGTTTATTTAATAGAAAAATCACTGATTCAAAGATGAAATAATAAGGAAAAGCAAACACCAGTTACAGAGAAAATAAACATAAAGACACAACTTCAAGCTTTGCACTTCTATATTATATAAATTTCCTTTTCTAACACAAGTTACCTAGTGCCATTGAACAATTTCCCAGCATGACCACCTCCATACAGGGGATCCAGCATTGACAGGAAGCCACATCTCCTCCCAACCTTCAAGACTGTTCCTCCAGTTCTGGATCAAGAGCTCAGTTTCAAGCCTCCTTTTCAAAAAGACTTTTTTCCTTTTTTTCCTCCTGGCATGGTGACCATGGTTATGTGGGTGGGGAAATTCTAGCCGGGGTGTCTGTGTTCTCCCATTAACTTTGCGGCCCATCATTTGTCTTTTTCTGGGTTGAACAATGCTAAGTGTTTGGGGCTAGTCTCATTGGGTCAGGAAGCAGCCCTTTCTTGCTTGGCTGACCACTGCCCTGCTGTGAGATGGAGGTAAAGCTTTAAGAACCCAGTTCTCTATATACATAAATTCATAACCACTATGTCTATACATATCTTGTGATGACCATCAAGCTCAGAACATTACAAGCTTCCATAAAAGACCTTACTCAACATATTTTTATACATAATAACATTATATACAACCAGTTGATTCAGTTATTTATTCTTTGGAGTCATATCCCTGGGGGTATCTGTACCCTGATCGTCATGGGGATACCTACGGAAAGGCACTAGAATTCTGAGGCTTGGTTCAAACTATGTATTTGCCATGATTCCTCTCCTTTCACCCCATCATACATTGGGCTTTGCAAGCCAATGCCTTCTTTAAAGCTCTGTGAGGCAGCATGAAGCACTGGTGAGCTCTGCAATCATGGTGATGACTATAAACAGGCCACTACAGGTCTGTGTACAGTTGTGCAATGACCTCACAACCAGGCAGTAAGGCACCAAGGGATGAGGCTCACATTGAGCAGACACTTCTCCTAGACCTTTACATGGAATGCTTCATTCAGTGGACTGCTGCTTTTTCTGGGCTTGACCAACAGGCATGGACCGATGGGACAGGATAGTGCTACAGGCTTGGGATGACCAGTAGTGGCAGCAGAACTTAAGGAGGAAAATGCCACTTTCCTAAAAACCTGAGCAGAGCTCACCCTGGAGCAGCAGACCTCCTACATGAGAGCTTCCCTCAGCATAGCAAAGCACGTGGCCATCAATCACCTTCTGGAAGTTCACCACTGCCAGTTGCAAGTAGTCCATATTCCCACTGCTCCAGCTTACAGTTAAAAACCCCCATAACTTGGTTCTGTAGAACTAGACCATTGCCTTGACCTTGAGGGCTAATTCTTTCAGCCAACTGAGCCTTGTCACTCAGCTTCCTCTGAAACACTCAAATTTTTTCTTTAGTGAGGAGGTGATTTCAATCCTGACCTTTACTTAGCATAGCAGCAGTTCTTAATTCAAGGAGAACCTTTTCAGAAGGGGAGGAAAAGGTAGTCTTCCTCATCATACATGAAGTGGTTAGTTTTCCCCATTATTTTCCCGTTTCTAATCTGACTATGTCCTGTTTAAAGCCTTGAAGCCATCCCTCTTCCAAAATAAGACTTCAAAAGGCACGTACTTTTTTTTTTTTTTTTTTTTAGGAGAAAATATTACAAACCCTCTCCCTGTCTGTTCTATTACGCAGTCAAATCCCCAGTTTCAGGAATTCCAACCCTAGAGAATGTTTTGGTGTTTCTAAAAATAAACAGGTGTGGAGAGTTCTTTACTAGGGTAGGGTAGACTTGAACATGGCCTCTTGCTGTACAATAGTAAATGAGGCTGTGTAGTCCTCTAAGGATTAGGTGGGGGGAAAACTAGTGTATACAGGAATACTTTTTGATGATAACTTTCCCATTGCCATATACAAATTTTTGTCACTGGGAGCCCCTTTCATTTGGCTAGAGGAATTATTTTCTTCCTCAAATCCTGTGCATTCCAGAGGGAGATTCTCTAGGATATGTTTGCCTTTTATAGAGTTTGGCAGTCAATTCACCAGGTCTTCTAAAATGAGCATCTTAATGCTATAAAATTAAGACAGTGCTCATCACCTAAAGGATTTACAAAATTCTTTAAAGATCTATAAATGTAACTTGTCTGGAATTTTTACTCTGTTTCCAACTTCTTTGCTGGACATGCAAACATCCCACTACAAATGTAACAGGTTGCCTAGAGAGAGGCCAGTTCAAGCAGAGGTCATGCTCTTTACAAACTAGTTGACTGTCTCCCTTGCAGTAAAGCCAGAGGTTCAGGATGTATACTTCCAAACCACTACTCCACCTAAGTTTCCCCCTGCCCAAATTGCTCTGCCACTCCCTTGGAGGGGTGGGCTCTTCAGGGGGAAAAGGGACAATATCCAGAGCTAGTGTAGGTCTGTCATCACCATACAGCTAAGGTAGCTTAGAATTCCTCCTTACCTGTAAGGGGTTAAGAAGCTCAAATAACCTGGTTGGCACCTGACCAAAAGGACCAATGGGGAAAGAAGATACTTTCCAATCTTGGGGGTGGAGAAGGCTTTGTTTTGTGTGTTCTCTTGGGAAGCAGAGAAGCATCAGGTCAGAAAACTCCTTCTCCTATAAACCATCCTAAAAGTCTCTCATATTACAAAAATTGTACGTAAAAGCCAGGCAAGGCGTGTTCGATTATCTTTTGTTCTGCTTGTGAATTTTTACTTTGCTGGAGGGAGGTTTATTCCTGTTTTTTGTAACTTTGAAACTAAGCCTAGAGGAAGTTCTGTTGTGTTTTTGAATCTTTTGTTACCCTGTAAAGTTATTTTCCATCCTGATTTTACAAAGGTGATTTTTATCTTTTTTAAAAATAAAATCCTTCTTTTAAGAACCTGACTGATTTCTCTATTGTCCTGAGACCCAGGGGTTTGGGTCTGTGATCACTTTGTAAACAATGGGTTAGGATATTATTCTCAAGCCTCCTCAGGAAGGGGGGTGTAAGGGCTTGGGGTGATATTTTGGGGGAATAGGAACTCCAAGTGGTCCTGATTCTTTGTTAAATCACTTGGTGGTGGCAGCGTACCGTCCAAGGGCAAATAA